GGACACTGGACACTGGACACTCCGCACAGCCGCAGCGAAATCAGCGCTGCAATCGGAGGCGCGTGAGATTTATGTGCTCTCAGACAGCGGGCAACTATCGCAATTAGGCGTACCCCCAAAATAAACCAGCTGCATAGAGCAATTGTAGATATACTTACATATACGTACGTATACATACAAATGTATATACATATGTATGTATATTTCTGTGCCAGCCCGAAAGCCGAGATAAATGAACCAAATTAGCACTGTGGACGACAACAACAACGACGACAACAATTACAAATGTGAAACGTGTGGAAGCTGATATACGAACCGGAACTGTTCTTGCCGAACGAACACATGCATCATACATGTGCATACATACATATATATACATACATAAATCGTATATATCTGTATATATCTGTGTGCAAGCGGTTAGGTCCGGCTTAGCATGCGCTTTTTAGGAGTGCCCCCTTTGTGGATCGTATCTATGTATATTTATGGATCGTATCCCAGCCAATCTGTCGTCGATGTCTGTTGTCTTATACACAGATCTCGAAATCGTTGGAAAAGCGGTTCACAGGCACGAGGATGTGTATGTATTTCTAATATAAGTGCTCAATACTAGATTGTCTCGATTGACTCGACATATTTTTGATAGACTCGTTTAAAAACTATATTACATAAGACATAAAGACCTTGATATTTTTTGCATTCTAAAATGTTACGAAAAGTTAAAAAAAAAACCTCAGATGACTACTACTAAATTCAAACGAAGTCAAATTATAAACCCAAACTTATATACATACATATATGTATATTTAGTGCCACTTTCGTCATTTTCGGTTACATTCGTAAATAAAATATTCTCTGCTAATGCTCATTTAAAATAATATACGATATGTTGCTTTGTAAGCCTATTTAATAAAAGCAACCAATCAAATCTTTTCTATTTATATATATAAAAGTTGTATATGAAGTGCATATACACATATGTATGTATATCTCTAGTATATATATTTAGTAGACATATAAATTACAGTTGCTCAATGTCTCTTGCTTGTCATTAGAACGAGAGTTCGGATTTGCTGCTCCTTCATTGCTGTCGATTTGCAGGCATTCCGGCCTTTTGAGAGCAGATGTTATTTTTTCACTTACCCCTTAACCGCCTGCCGCCCCCTACCGCTCTTCAAAAAACAAGAATTTGCGTTCTCTTTGAGCCGCACTGCAGCACAGTTCGAGTCGCAACTAGCACATACCCTGTACCACTCAAAAGCTATGCAATATTCTCGATCTAAACAATCATTAATTGAATAACGGCCTCTCTTGTACAATTAAAGCAACGGGATATTAATTTGTATAGCTTTTTCTAATGACCGGATCTAAGTATAAACACTCATTGCAGCATTATAATCATCATGAATTATAGTTGGGCGCAATTACAGTTTCAGCTGTGAATAATCATTTGCCTTGGAATTGTAATTAATAACAATTTCTGCTTATATTATAGGTAGTATTACCTGCAATTAGTATTCGTATAACTTAGACTTGACTGTAAGGGATAGCCTAATATTAAGTAACTGTGCTTTGGTTTATACATTCAATTGATTTCATTTCATTTAACTACATATGTATTTGTCGACATGTTCATGGCTTTACGTACACTTACAGGGTATCATACAAAACAGCAAACTACAAGAGAAGTAAGTTAAAAAAAAAAACCAAAGCACTTGTTCAGCCATGAGCTGTGGCTCAACAAAATGTGGCGGGTGCGGAAGGACTGGCGGCAAGAGGTGACCGGGTTCCAGGTGGTGCCTGGTGCTTGGTAGCTGTTGCCCGGCTGCGTCTGATTCAGGTTTTGGTTTTGGTTTTTGGCGCAAAAATTCGCTCAAAATTGGCAGCAGGTATTTTGCCGGGGCAGCAGCAGCCGCACAAATTGGCGCAAAATTTACAGATGCCTCACAAATACACTGAAACAAAATGAGAACAGAGGGCACACTGAAGACGACGCGCGCCGCATTGTCGGGGCATGATTATTTCTCAGCTGTGCGCCAAATTTATTATCTCTGAGAGGGAGCAGCAGCACCACCACCACCACCACCAACAACAACAACAACAGTGATGTGTACCGAGTGCCGGGTGCACTTTCGCCACGTTTCGAAATGCACCCAGTCGCAGTCGAGCCGCCCCACGCACTAAAAATAGATTGTCGACGGCCCTAATGTATCTGCTAGATACTTTTTATGCTCTGTACACATTGGAAATGGGATTTCGTTGAGAATTTTAAGTATACATACATATATTCTCGGATATTGCGTGTATTATATTTACATACATACATATGTACATATGTATGTATATTTGTATGCATTTATTTCTATATTAATTATAAATTATGTCGATCAAATTTAATATTCGCTCATAGTTTTCTCGTTTGTGTAGAGATTATATATATGTAGGTAGATTATATTAGATACTTCAGATTGACTCTGTTGGTACGTGTAATAAATGCCCCGTTTTTAGATACCACCACAGCTCCCTTTCAGATTATTCATATGTGTTGCATACGTATCTATGCAATGCGCAGTTACACATACATACATACATACATACGCACACACACATACGCATGCACGCGCATGCACAGTGCAAGCTGGGGTATTTGTTTAATGAGCTCATTTATTAATTAGGCGATCGTGACGTCAGCGCCCAGCAACGGGACACAGAGCACCGTCGCAGACACAGACACATTGTACATACATACATACATATGTACGTAGACACAGGGCACAGATACAAAGCGAAGAAAGGAAACTAACCCTCTGCCTCTAACTACTTTAATGTCTGTGGCATGCCTCGCGTGCCACACACTTCCAGCCAGAATGTGCCTCGTGCGTTGTATGCGTTCTATCTATTGCACGAGTTGCCGATGATGACGAATTGAATGAAAAACAACAACAACAACAACCAAAAATCGTCAAATACAAAACAGCATCTGATTTTGTGCTGCGCAAGCTGTTTTCGCGGAAGTAGGAAAAAAAAGTCGCTCAGTAGCAGGCCGGTCACGTAGGCCGCGTGTAAATGTAACACACGCACACATGCAAATATAACACATGTATGCATGTGTGTGAGCGTGTGTACGGGTGTGGGCAGAGCAACTGGCGCTGTAGCCAAGTGCAGAGCCTAAAACGCATTTTCAATGGAAATGACGCATCCCATTTGAGGCTCATTCAATTTAAGCATACATATACTCGCTTGCCAGGTAAAGAGAGCATTTCCGTTTCGTGCTATACATATTTCAGGAGAGAGATTTCATTAATTAGAGAATCGTTAATACAGGTATTTGGGCCTTAGCATTGGATTGACTCAAATGTTTCCACCCTAACGCAAAATGCCTCATTTTTTTGGCGGGAGGGTTGATTTTTGCATGGACCTGTGTACAACCCTCGCGCCGAACCCTTATTGTTGCATACGCTGTCTGTTGGGGGCAGGTAGGTTTTTGGTAGCAATTGGTGCCAGAATCGAAAAGAGTTCTGAGAATTATACATACATGCATACATACATACATATGTAGGTAAATGATCAGTCCATTGTTGCCAATAAGCGAGGAATCATCGTCTGGTCAAGGCAATAACACAAACTAAGCAAGCGCAAAAAACGCTACAACGATTGTATAACAGTAACGAGTCCACATTGTACGCTACACCACTTCACAAACACATACACACGCAACAATATTTCTATGTCGTTTTCAAGCTGATTTCACTTTCGTTTGCGGGTAACGCTCGAACGAACGCTTAAAGCGCGAAAGTGTTTTTTCGTAGTATTTGTATTTTATTTATTTTGTAAACACGACTTACTAATTATACCGTTTAATGCTGCATGAAACTGGCTTTGACCTTGGACTAGGAGCTAAACATCATTAAAACATTAACCCACAACAACAATAGACGCAAAACAATGTAAACCTTACTAAATTAATGAACATACAAACTTTCAAAAATACATACACCCAAACATATGTACATATATAAAATTCACGCATATACACAAGGAAAATAAGCTTCACAGCCATCTACCCCACTGCTAAAATATACTCAATGGTCTAGCGTCACTGTTAAAAGCCACTATCACTCAATCGTGGTCGAGCCTCTGTTAATCTCCCTCTATCCTCTATCAATCTCCCAATCGTGTTAAGTGCTGGCAATTCTACCACACTCTTAAATAACAGCGGCTAAGAGAGCATTTTCGCTCTTCACAAGTAAAATGTAAACAAGCAAGCAGTGTTGCCGAATAAGCTATTTTGTAGCTAGATCTGGCTACCTTTTAAGGCCAATTGCTACCAAAATTTTCAAACAGCTCATAGCTACAAATCTGGCTATTTTCAGATATTACATTAAGCTAAAATGAAGTTGAGCGCCTGTTCAGTCAGGTTAATTTAATCCAAACTAAGCTAACGAACAGAATGAGTTGCACGGTGCTAAGATCAATATTAGACATAAGGTAGGTAACAAATAATTTAAATGTTAATATAAAAGTTATATGAGATTTTTCTTATAGATAAGGATTTCGCCGACATGGAAAATGTTACTTAAGTATAGCGTTGGTGGTCATAGATGAGATATTAATAGAATTAAATAATTAACGAGTACTTTTTATGAAAAAAAAAAAAAACACTGTTTTATTTTTTCCTTTTTTTCAATGCAACATTTTAAATAATTTCTTTGCTTAATAAAATGTGAAAAAATCCAGCTCTTAACACACTGGAAAAACGGCATCACTGACTTCGAATTCACCTCACTCTGGACTGCGAACAAAGAGAATCTAAAAGTGTTCTCTCTGAATGTTATTAACATAAAATGTTATTACGTTTCGTATGTTCGTTTCGTACGATTTTTCGATTCGTACGTTCATTCGTGTTTCAACCATCGACTTGAAAGGTAGTAGTTGCTCCGTAAGCAGTATGTGTTTCGGCTTCGTCGCGCGTACAAACTGAAAAGGAAAAAAAAAAAAAATAGAAAAGCAAATTTAAACTATGCCAAGAGCAATTAAAAAATAGATTAAGAAATCGTTTGACATTTGCATTCATTTACATACAGCTTGCAATGCTTTCTCCGTACGGTACGTGACTTCAGCACCACCTGATTTCGTGTGGTTTGTTTTTGTTTGCACTTAAAAAAAAAAAGAAAAAAAAGAAACATATTTGCTCGCTAAGAGAAATCTGATTACGAATAGAAACCAAAAAAGAAAAGTGAATTGTGTGCACAAAATGCCATCGTTTATATTGGTACCACCGGTGGCGAAGCCATTAGCCGCCTTCGAGCCACGCCCCTCGAGGTCTTCTCCGGAAGTGCAGGCGAAAAGGCGGAATTTGTTCGGTACGTGTGATAGCGCCGACATCGACGCCCTTCTAGACGAGGAGAATTCTCGCCAGGTCCACTACATGGCGGAGCGCTATAATATAGATCTCGACAAATTAGAGGAAAAGTGCAATCAGCTGAGTTCAGTGGAGCCTGTGAAAACGCAAAAGTTTACCGTTAGCATTAGCGAAAAGAAAAGTCTTAAATTTGCGGACTTGGATGCGCAACAAGTAATTCTAGTTGCACAAAAAAACGGCGTTAAACGTAAGTGTAACAATCGGAAATCACCTGATTTTCAACGAATCGAATATGCAACAAGGTTTTTCGTTTCTTTTTTGTTTTGTAGAATTTTATCGTTTCATAATTACTTAATTTAATTTAATTGTTGCTATATTGCTAAATAAAACCAAAGAAGCTTTATCTGTCTCCCTTTCTCTCTTTTTTTCTGTTTCTGTTTTTTTTATTTATTTATTTTTTTAAACTTAAATTTTGACTATATTGCTATATAAAGCCAAAGAAAGTTTTTCTCTCTCTCTCGTTCTGCCTCTTTCTCAGGTGCACTGTCCTATAAATTGCTAAACTTATTATCAGACATCCAATAATTCAATAACCTTTGCACGTACACATACATATACTTATATATTTCCATTACTCATGTCAATATTTGCAGTTCAGTTTCACTGATTTTGCTTTGTTCTCAATTCCGCAGTTTTGTCCCTTTTTAAAGGGCTATTCGCGTCTTAAGTAAATGTTATTTTGGTTTCAGTCTCGTGCTTTTGCTGTTTTGTTTTGATAGACATTTACTTTTCGCGCTCACTCTAACCATTTTTAGCGCTAGTGTATATTAGTGTGTGTATGTATGTACATATGTCTGTATGTGATTGTTGTCCGCTCTTTTTGTTTCATCGACAACTTCGCGTTGTTTTGTTTTCCTTACACACAACAGTGTCGTTCATAACAGAATATCAATAGTAGCAGTTGGCAATTGATAAAGTAGCGTAGAGATAAAATTAAAAACAAGAAAAATGTTAAATAACAAAATTGCGATTGTTGACGCTGACAGCTGAATTCAATTGACAAAAATGTTTTTTCGCGCCAAAAATGAATAGTATAAATATACATTGCATATATAAATATATATACATATATATATATATATATATAAATATAAGTTCGTCTATCGCAATATTTGCTTAGTTTTTGCACAAAAAATAGATTCGAAATGAAAAAATATACAAGTGATTGCGTCAGCGAATGCAGCTGCAGCTCAGCAATTAATCGAGAGGCCTCAATTAAAATTGAAATCACTGTCATCGCGCTCTCTGCGGTTGTTGCCGCACACATAACATACACATAAACATGCATACAGATACGTATGTATGAAAAAAATAAAAAACCAAGAAAAAATTAAGACGGCACACGACTGTACATTGTAGCTTGTTGCTCCTTCACAACCGCACCCACAACGACTCTTATACACGGGTCTTGTCAGTCCACTACACACGCACACATATGCTACACAGTGCCAGACAAACGGGCAGACTTTCAATAAAAGAGAGCGAGAGAGAATAGCAGAGAACAGCGCTGAGCGCGAGATCGTGAGTTGTTTTGCAGTGTCGCCTATGAAATTTTGTTTTGGCGCCAATTTGTGGATTACATACATATATACATACGTTTTGATAAGCGCGTTTGTATTGACTTATGCGTGAGGTTATATACATATAAATATTTATATGTATGTATGTGGGTTATGGCTACGCATGTTATTGTTAATATTGTTTTATTGTTTGAGGTTTTGGAAATGGGTATATTGAGTTTTATAAAATGTCCACTGTCCATTGAAACTAGAAACTTGAAATTCTTAATAAATATCCTAGTAAAAAATATGATTTGGGGTTTTCCGATGCTAGGATGTTAGGAGAGCAAAAATTCAAAATATCATCACAACCATAGGGGCGTGATACATCCGAAAAGCATTATCTTATATATGTACATACATATGTATGTATTTATATATAGTTGTAAACTCAATATTAAATGCCTGAAGTACTGTTCACCTCGTTTATTCGTTTACTATATATTAATAGAGCTAGTAAAGTTTTGACACTGAGCAAGCATTCTGCAGTCAGCACTACCCGACGGTCTGCAACATTTTTACTTGTTTTTCGTTGTGAAGGTCACGCGTTACGCGTACGTACAGCAACGTCAGAATCTGGCGCTTGTGACAGGTCCAGCTACAAACTGTAAAGAATTCTTCATTTACATATTCGCATTCTAGACGTTTTTAATTAGACTTTATATTTGTTTTATAAGATTTATTTATTAAAACGTATAAACTATTCGTTCATTTTGTTCTGTTTTGTTTTAACTCCAACTTAAATACATATACATATGTAAGTATATTCACATTCTGGATGATAATAATATACATACATATATAAATGCATATTTACTTATGATGATGATGAGATGTTTAATAAGTAGAAATACAACATTGTATCTAATAAATCGAAGTGCTTTTCTAATCTCTAAGTCCATGTCTGATTTTTTTTTCTCAATAGTTTTTGCCATGTTTTGGGCCCCACTGTACTTCACAGTTAGACGCATTTGTTTTGTTTCTCTTCGAGCTGTTTGCGTTTTTGTTTTGCTTTCGAGTTTTCACCACGCCTCCAGCCAAAGCTTATAATTATGTATGCAGCAACTCTCACGGCCTCAACCATATGCATACTTATATGTATGTATGCATACATGTATGTACATACATATGTATGTGTGTGTGCTTATAAATATTTATGTTATGCGACGTTGTCGTCTCCGTTCCTGTTTCATGTATCGCTACACACACATTTCGTAAACAAAACGCGTTTTGTTGTCGTCTCACCGTTCTATCTGGCGCGGATTCTTTCTTTCTTTCTCCTTTTGTTGTGCACTTCATTTGTAGTAGAAAGCGCTGTAAACGCCTAATGAATTGAGAAGCTTTACGTGCCCATAACGGTAAATTACAATGCTTGAAATGAGCGACAGCGACACCGACTGGCAGTCTGATCGACCAGCCGCCAACGCCGCCTGCTCAGTGACCGCATTGCTTGACGCTCTTTGTTGTCGTCGGCTTATAATTTTCTGTAACTGTAAATGGCTTACAACGCCGCTTGCGCTTCTCTCAACTTCTTGTTCTTCTTCTGGGGTGCTGCTTAGAAGAAGCGAGCGCGTGCCGATTGGCTGAGCCTGAAGTTATATACATATTATATACATGTACATACATATACTAAATTTTTTATTTTTATTTTTACATTTCTATTTTTATATTATTTTATTTTATTTTTTTTTTAATAGCGGAAGAAAAACACCGTTTAAGTACATAAACAGATACATACATATAATAATGGGTCATAGATTATAAATGTCCGGAGTAAAGTTGAAGCGAAATTGTGTTCATGATATACTTTATACCAGTTTTATATTATGTGCTTACATTATATATATGTACATATGTATATGTATATATAACTTATATAAACATGTACATATACATACATATACATATACATACATATATATTATATGTGAAATAAAGCACCCACGAAAATTTAGCTGTCACGTCCATTTAGCTTCTATGTCAATACTCAAGGTAGTTTTAATTGCGCACAAAAGAAATGATTAATTTATAAGACTGATTAAAAGTAGTAAGTTACTTTGAATCATGAACATGATAATACTTATACATGTATGTACACACATAGTATATACATATGAACGAATGTATATACATACATAAACGTGTATCAGTATGTCGTTTGTGTACGTTCATTCACAAAAAAAAACGCTGTGAATAGGTTAATCCCCGATTGCTGAAAGTTAGCAATAACAACAAAGCACTCTTCTACTGCCTGTTATGTGCATACATACAAATGTACGCTTGAACGATAACATCATACCCCGTTTATCCACGTACATTGTGTGCAGGGTATAATAGAAGCGTGTGCACCTACACATACATAGTCCATGATAAGAGAGCTCTATGCATGTTGAGTGTGTACGTATAGATGCATATGCACATGTATGTGTGTTTATTGTATTGCAGTTTGTTTGCGTTAAACGTAAACGCTTGCGTTTTGCTTTGAGTTTGCATTTGCTTTTTGTCGTCGTCGCTTTCCCTTTTCCTTGGTTCACATTTGAAGGTCAGCCGTTTACACTTTAGCTATTTAAACACACTCACACACACAGAGACACTTTTTCCAACTGTATCTAATTATAGCATTTTGTTTCGATTCATTTACAGGCAACTTTCCCGTACGCAAAGCTTACAAAGGAGATTCGAGAGTGCCAAAACGTAAAATTAATCAGATCAGCAGCGACCGCGTTGAGGCTGATAGCCATAATAGCGAAATTGGGCCAATTGGGGAGAAGAGGATGTGCAAAGGGTGTAGGAACAATAACTGCAATAATTGATATTTATTACATATTTTTTTTATTATTATTTAACTTATGTTTTTTTATATGTGTATATTTTTGTTTAAACAAAACCAAGACTTAACAGTACATTTAGTGGGCTTCGAATACGACAGCACACCAACACGCACACTCAAAAAAAAAAAAAAGAAGATTACAAATTAATTACTAATAACAAACCCCCAATTTCAAAGCGTTCTCAGCGTGTTTCCGGCTTCTGCTGCACGCGTGTGCCGAAAGTATTTACAGTTTGTCATGATCTCAATAAAAAAATTGTACATTATTTTGTCTAAATGTAATTTATTAATTGAAATTATTTAAAGCAAACAAACTACAGAGACTATTTTGACTATTCTCTGTTAATTGTGTATAATATGTTAATTCGAATTACGGTAAACAAAATTGTAAACTCTACTAAAGAGAATTGTCTCATTGTTATTGACATTCTTTAGGGGAGAGAAAATCTTAAAGTAGAAAAAAAAAAAACAACACAAACTGTGCATATTTCCTTAAATGAAACTAAATATTGTATAACCTACACAACACACTACAAAACAACTGTATAATGTACTTTTTAGCAAAAGTTAAAAATCTTAAAAAAAAAATTAAAATAAATACAAGAAAAAAAGATACAAAATTCAAATGTAAAAAAAAAATTTCAAAGCTTTTTATTTCTCTATGAGGATGGAGGGCGCTCTTGATAGCGTGATTCGTGTGAAACGAAATGAGAAAAGTGAGTGCCTAAGTGGAGGGAAAACGAAAATGAGTCAGCGAAACTTTCAAATGCTCGTTTTGGTACAGTGAAACACCGTTGCAGTATACTCCATATCACGGTTTTGTATGACTACTGCAACGAAATAGAAAACGGCCTGGCCTACAGATTCATATCGGGGTTTTGTTGAGATGTACATACATATGTATGTATGTAAATATATTATGTAAGTATACTTAATTGGTATTTTAATTCTTACAAATTAAGATATTTAAACATATACATACGCATATGTACGTTTTTAACTGTGTCTCTCATGTCGGAGCTCCACTGTACGGCGTTTTACATACAAGTGTATTTCTGTGTGTGCCACATTGTATCCAACGCTGCCTGCAGACATTTGAGAAAATGCTTTCCAGTTGTAATGAATGTGTAGCCCGTGGAGTGGGCACTTAACATTAGATTGGCTGTCACTTCCGGCAGGCCTTAGGCAAACTACGACGTCAGCGTCAGCGTCGGTATCGGCATCGGCGTCAGCGTCGGTGTCGGCGACGGCAGCGGCTTGATGAAGATTGATGCTGCCTGAAGAGCGGCCACTCAGTTGGCGGCCCATGCGCCCAACGCTTTCATAGACATACACTCGTATACACACATACATACATACATATTTGAGGGTGCATGTGTGCTTCAATTCGAGGCTATGTGCATTGTATACATACATACATATGTATGTCCATTTGGAATCTAAGCTGTACGATTGTAACTATTCGAGTTGTATTGGAAGCGAGTGTATGTATGTACATATGCACTTAACTACATACATACATCAATAAATATATACATGTACGGCTATTCGTATGTCTTTATGTAACAATGGCATTTCGCAAAACTAAATTACATGCCACCAACATACTATTTGCCCACTTATGGAAGTAGCTGCACGGGTATGGTTATTAGCATGTAATTTCAAGATTTTTAATGCTGGCATTCGCATTCGCAATGCACACATGCGCATGCACACACGCATGCACGCTCGCACGCATATAGTCATAGAAGCTATGGGAGAGAGAGAGAGAGATGGAGACATTGAGCAGCAAAGAGTGAACGAACGAGCGCACAGTCGCTTTGGCCGCATTTTCGCCTGCACCTTTTTGCATTTGGCCTCGCTATAAAAGCAAAGCGTACAGAAAACAAACAACAACAATTTATGACACAGCCTGCCGTTGATTTGTTGCTTTTTTCACTATGCCGTAACGGTAAAGCCAAGCTCTGGTGCCATAAAACTTGTGCAGCCACAGTCGCACAAAGCACACAGATACACAGGCACACACACACGCACGCACATTCGCTGTTTTGTCGTTTTTCTATTTCGCGGCTTTCACATATTTGCAACGGCGTTGAGAAAACGGGAACTCTAAAAAGAAATCGCAATAAATTATAGCGAATAGTGTAAAGGGGAAAAATGTAATAGCGTTGCGTTTTCATTAATCATCATTAATGTCAGAGATCATTCAGAGAGTGCAATGGCTGGAAAAGCGTGAAAAGCAAGCCAAGGCCGTGAGTCACTGGCACACACGCACATATGCATGGGCATACATATGCACACATACACACAGCTAGACGCACACACACTGTCCTCACAATAAAAATCAATCAACCCTGCTGCAAGCTGCCTGCTTTTATGGCACCACCCATCCACCTAGCCACACGTATCACTCTCCTTCTCTCATTCTATTCGCCTCTCTTTCGCATTTTGAGGCTGCGTGTCTGCCTTTGGACGTGAGGTCACGCTGAGCAATTGGCAGCCCTCGGTTTGCTCTAATCTGCTGACCAAGTTGTGGCCAGCCGCTTCGCATGATTTCCTTTGGTTTGGCCTGGTCTGCTCCGGGCCGGGTCTGGCTTTCGCAATTTTAAAGCCAAAACCAAAACCAAAACCAAAACCAAAGCAAACCAAACCAAGGTGACCCAAGCTGAGCTGAGTTGACTTGAGTTGAGTTGAGCCAAGCCAATTTGCGCAAAATGAACAGCAAACACAACATGCAAAGCACTTTTCGTTTCCAGTGCTCATTTCGTGATTGTTCCCACAATTTTCGTACAATGCTGGAAAATGTACGTGCCTCGTCCGTTGTCCCCTAGCCTCGCATTGTTCACTCTCCTCTTGTTGTTACTGTAATTACCTAAAAAAATATATATATACCTACAAAATGTATAAAAAAAAAAAACAACAACAATGGGAAAATTCTTTTCAAATGGCACTCAATGGCAGGGGCGCTGTCTGAGGTAAGCAGCTTGAGAGATCTCTCCGATCTGGACGCAAATCACTGAACGCTGTAATCGTGCACAGACATATACAATTTTTAGGAGTAGGAGAGAAGAAGATGTAGTACAAAAGATATGCCAGAGGATCACGTACACGCATCCCATGAAATGGGGGCGTCATTTACATGGGGGAGCTTAGACCGTCAGCTCGGAGCAACAACAATATCGCCATGCAGGATCGTGAGCGTGTGAATCGAAAACCAATGGGGGAACAGCCAAGCTCTAGTCAGGTGCATACGTACATACTTACTTATATATCTACGATATCTAATACTCAGTTTCTTCTAAACAATTTATTTATTCCTAATCGAAGACTACATGTTTTAATACCTGATTGAATTTTCGATTCAGTATTCTTCAAATGTACAATTTAAGAATTATATATGTACATACCTGTATTGAGCTCTAAATTAGGTAGGTATCTCAGTCTATTGTATATTACTAATTGGATAATTAGTGAGAGCCACTACTGAGAATATTGAAGATCATATTCTTGGTCATTAGGTATCCGGTTACTTGAAATTGTGTTGCTTTCTCTGGATTGATTTAAGTGTAGATTACTACTAATATCCCATTTAACTTTAATAAAATTCAACTCATTCCGCTTATTTTAAAATACGTTTTTAAGTACATACATACATATATGGCCCAGCAGTCTCTGGCGAATCTTTAACTGATAAGATAGAGTGCAGAGATTAGAGATAGAGTGTGCCCTCTTTGGCCATAAGTAAACGTTTGGGCACATAAGCTGAAAATAATATGAAATGTGTCAATATCGTAAATATTTTGATCGCATCAATGTATCAATGAATATGCTATGCAAATATTAGTGCTAAATTCAATTATCGTAATACAAACCATTTGCAATGACTATGAAATTATTTCCAATAACAACAACACGCACTGGAGTGCGCAGCCTTATCACAATATTATTCCTACTTGCCATTAGCTTAATGAACCCTCAAGATAAGTGGACAAAGACCGACCTTGACCAAGCAGTCAGTCAATATGTACACATGTATGTATGCGTGTGTATGACTGTGCATGTGCTTATAAATATTGCCAGGCAATGCAACATTACAACATTCCGCAAATTCCCTCGCTTAGTCATGTTCGGTCGGCGTCGCCAGCTGAGCGCCTCCTCGCTCTCGGCGAACATCTTGCATGTAGGTTTTCGTTATGCCACATTTCTGGGAATCATCTGCTTTGGCATTGAGGGCAATCGCACCGATGGCTGCCTGGTCGCTCAGAACCGCTTCTGGTACAAGTGGTTCTGTCTGCTAACACGTTTGCTAATATGCGTCATTTATGGCTATCTGAGTTTGGATTACATCTTCACTCTGGATAACTCCCATTTGATTATACTCTCCTGGATTCGGCTGGTGTGCTGCCTGATCTGTGCCTTTGTCACTCTGACAATGCAATTCTGGTTTGGGCAACATGTGCTCCGAGTGGTCAACAGTTATTTGAGGCTATTTCGCAAGGTCAACGCGCTGCCCGGCAGCCAGGCGAGCGGCTTTGGTGGCAGGCGGGAGTTGAGTTTGTTGATCTTCAAGATGATTTGCCTCATAAACGAAGTATTCTGCGAACTTCCAGAGTTGTTCGATGGCTTGAGTATTCGTCTCTTTGTAACCATACTCTGTGACCTATACGTTACTACCAATGCCACCATGATCGGTCACCTCTGTTTTGTGGGCTATCTCAGCGTGGGCGCCCTCTACGCCCGGGTCAATCACTATGTACGCCACGAGCTGCGACGCCAGCTGCAAGGCCTGGAGCAGCCGACTGGCTGTGAAGTCAGTCGAGGACAGCTAAGGGCCGCTGGTTGCCGGCTGGACCAGTGTCTGGCCATCTACGATGATATCCAGCGGGTGGGCAGCGCGTTTCATCGGCTGATGGAGCTACCGCTATGCCTCATACTGCTCTTCGCCTTCTTGAGCATGACATTGGTGTCCTACTTCATCATGCTGCAGCGATTTCGTAATGTGGCGCTCTGGTTGCTAGTGGCTCGATTGTTCTTCGACGTAGTGCTGCTGACACTGGCCATTCATGGTGCCAGCAGCAGTTCCCGCGTGGTGCGCCGACTAAGCCTCGACAATTGCTACGTTACCGAACGCAACGATTGGCACATGAAGGTAAGCCTGAAGTTTGTGGCCCAAACTAATGACAATTTCTTCCGTTTCATAAATCTACGAATGCACTAGCAACAGGATCACAGGCATATTGACTTTAGTATATAGTATATCAAAAGTCTGGCCTCGTCACTCGTGTCTACTCCAAAAAGGGAAAATGATTTTTCCGGTATAATTTTTATTTATTTATTTATTTTTTTTTTGAGACAGCGAATTCAAATTGAAAGCTGCGAAAAAGGGCAAAACTTATTTCCGACTATATTCCACTCAATAAGTCAAGAGTTAGTTTATTTTCATTTGCTTCCCATTTTAAAGCACTTTTACTTCATTCAATTATTACTAAGAATCCCATTTAACAACTATGTCATCCTAATTTATTTCAATTCATTACAGCTGGAGATGTTTTTGGGTCGATTGAATTTTTTCGAGTTCCGAGTACGTCCGCTGGGACTCTTTGAGATCTCTAACGAGCTGATACTGGTGTTTTTGTCCGGACTCGTAACATATCTAACTTACATAATACAATATGGCATGCAATCGAATAAGATTTGAAATTTGACTTGATTTTATGCATCATTCATTGCGATGATAATCTTTGTTTATATTAATAAATAATTCTATAAACTATTATAATTAAACATATCTAAGCGGAATGGTTGCCTACGCTACAGAAATAATAATTTCATTAACGTCAAGCTAATTAGTTTATTGGACTCACAGATACCTATCAATTGAGGTCTTCAATTAAAATTGAGTGCATTTCTTGTACACATAAGACCTGTTAACCTATTTGACATGTTATTATTGTTGGATTAGTCATGTTCGGAAGTCGTCGGTGGCGGTTTGACGCCTCTTCGGTCTCTGCGAGCATTTTAAGAGGGTCCTTGAAGTACGGCGCATTTATGGGAATCATCTGTTTCAGCGTGAAGAGAAATGGAAGAGATGGTCCTTTGGTGGCTAAGAATCGAAAGTTTTACACATGGTTCTGTCTGATTTCAAGGATTTTGATTTGTGGTCTATATTGTAACCTAATTTACGATTTTATCTATACGATTAGTATTACACAGTTAAAGCTTATCGTTGTCATTCGGTTCTTCATTTGTGTTGTCTGCGCTATCTCCACTCTAATCATGCAGTTCTCGTATGGACATAGAATTGTCGATGTGGTGAATCGGTTTCTGGGACTGTTTCAAAGGATAAACGCACTTCCAGGATGTCACGATGAGGGCTATGGCGACAATTGGGTGCTGGTCTTACTGTTTGTGAAAGTGATTGGCTTGACTTACGAGCTTTGCTACCTGATTCCATTACTAATTTTCGAGTACAGCAGTTTAGTAGCTGTATCGGTTTTTTGCGATATATATAACACGGCCAATGTCTACATAATACTGCATATCTACTTCGTGGCATACCTCAGCATAGGCATCGCTTATGACCAGATCAACAATTATATACGACATGAGCTTCGGCGAGATCTTTGTGAACTAAACTCGAGCCCAGGAATCGCTATTAGAGAGAGAAAGCTAAGAACCGTAAGCCAATCCCTCCAGGAGTGCCTGGCCATATATGAGGAGCTTCACCAAGTTGGAAACGATTTTCACGCGCTATTTGAGTTTCTACTATGCATTATTGTATTGTTTGGGTTCTTGAGCTTGGCGTCAGTCGCATTCTTCGTCATGATTAATCTATATAGCGGCATCCGCTTATTGATACTGGCGATTAAGATTCTATTGGATATTTTATTGCTGACTATAGCGGTTCATATTGCAAGCAGCAACTCGAGGGTTATTCGGCTGCTCAGCTTCGAGAACTGTTATGTGAGCGAGAGTAAAGATTGGCATATGAAGGTGAGTATTATATTTCAACTTTGATAGACTAATAATTAAATTCTATTATAAAAGTAGATTAAATCCAATATCTAGGTATATAATATAAAAAAGTACTAAAAGTTCATCGGTTCTTTTTAGCTGGAAATGTTCTTGAGCCGTTTGAATTATAAGGAATTTCGAGTACGTCCTTTGGGTCTCTTTGAAGTATCCAACAAGATGATATTGGTCTTTATGTCCGGCCTGGTCACTTATCTCACCTACATAATACAGTACGACATGAAAACTAATCCAATTTGAAAGAAAAGTTACGAAATTATATACAAAGATAAAAGAATGTTAAATGTGGATATCGACTGCAATAATGCTCTTTCATAGTTAAAAATAAAAACTTTTTTTGTTATTTTGAAAATTAATAATTTTGAATTTGTCACGCTTTAGTGGCGGAGTCATAAAGTTTGTATGTATATATGCTTATCTGTGGTGCAAGTGCAAACATTATGTCGAAAATTGTCAATAGTCAATTTGAAGAAAGGTGAGTTAAAAAAGTTTCTTAATACGAAGTGATTCCTTCAATTTCAGTACATATCATACAGAAATCAATTTCATCATAATGACCAAAGGAACAGCCTCTGACGCCTTTTGTTGAATCAATAAACGTCAACACGATTATTAGACGATTTTTGATATACTGACGTCGAGTTACATTTATCATTTCTTGGATATAATATACAATCAATATTAATGAGAGAATACCTTAATCGTTATTGTCAAATATATAAACTACATTCATTTTTAATATTTCCAATAAAAACGCATTGAAAAACAATATAATTAATATGTAATTCTCCTAATGCAAGATATACATCGATGAGGCCCTTCAGCGTCGACCCTTAACAATCAAACAAATAAAACTCGAGCTCATATTGAGTACATATGACTACTGTTAGTTCATATGATTAGTCATTATTGGATTAGTCATGTTTGGAAGTCGTCGGTGGCGGTTTAACGCCTCTTCGGTCTCTGCGTGCATTTTAAGAGGATCGCTGAAGTACGCCACATTTATGGGAATCATCTGTTTCAGCGTCAAGAGCAATGGAAGTGATGGTCGTCTGGTGGCCAAGAATCGAAACTGGTACAAATGGTTCTGCCTGATTTCAAGGATTGTCATGTGTGGCCTCTATATACAAATATATAGAAATTTTATGCGTGTACTCAATGCATCTCATTATACGATAATCCTTATCTTTCGTGTATGCATTTATATAGCCTGTGCTGTCTTCACCTTGGTAATACAGTTTTGGTATGGAGAGCGAGTGGTTGATTTGTTCAACAGATTCCTAAGGCTTTTCCAAAGGATACATGCACTGCCAGGATGTCAAGATGACGGCTTTGGCGACAAATGGGTTCTGAGCCTGCTGCTCTTAAAGGTGATCAGTCGCATTTATGAAAGTTGCTACTTGATCCCAGCGATGATGCCATCATTGGATACTTATCATATTTGCAGCACAATTTGCGATTTCTATAATACTGTCAATGCGTCTATAATATTGCATTTAAATTTCGTGGCATACCTCAGCATAGGCATTGCATATGACCAGGTAAACAGTTTCGTGCGACACGAGCTGCGACAACAGCTTTGTGAACTGAACTCGAGCCACGGAATCTCTGTTAGCCAGAGGAAGCTAAAGACCGCTGGCTGCTGCCTCGACGAGTGCCTGGCCATCTACGATGAGATTCTCCAAGTGGGAAACGCTTATCACAGACTATTTGAGATTCCATTATGTATTTTTCTATCGTATGGGTTTTTAAGCTTGGCGACGATTGCTTTTATCATAACGTTAAATTTAGCTAAAGGCATCCGCCTATGGCTACTATCGATTCAAATATTATTGGATATTATATTGCTGACTACAGCGGCTCATATTGCAAGTAGCAACTCGAGGGTTGTTCGATGGCTCAGCTTGGAAAATTACTATGTGAGCGAGGAGAAAGATTGGCATATGATGGTGAGTCTCATATTTCCAACTCTCCATAGCATTTATTCCAGTAAAATGATTGATTTATTTATTGATAATTGATATTGATTATTGAAATCATAAGATAAATAAACTCAAATCTTCTTAGTATATAGCTTGCTTTAAATTTTTAACAAAATTCCTTTTTTTTTGTTTTAGCTGGAAATATTTTTATGCCGTTTGAATTATAAGGAATTTCGGATACGTCCTTTGGGTCTATTTGAAGTATCCAACCAGCTGATATTGGTCTTTATGTCCGGCTTAGTTACCTATCTCACCTATATAATCCAGTACGACATGCAAACTAATCCAATTTGAAACCAAAGCAAATTTTAAATTTATATTTAATATTAATATTAAATAAAATTAATAAAGTTTTTGATACGTGTTGCCATTTTTATTGTATACATAATGCCATTCATATTAATTATAAATGTTAGTAGTCTCATTATTCGGAATTCGGAATCTAATTAACTAATTGAATTGACAGGTGACTCAAATGAGCTCTCAAATGACGACTTTTAACAAATTAAATCGATCTAATATTGGGTACATATAAGTACGTACTGTTAGCTTATTTCATTAGTCACTATTGGAATAGCCATGTTCGGAAGTCGTCGGTGGCAGTTTAAAGCTTCTTCGGTATCTGTGTGCATTCTAAGAGGATCCTTGAACTATGCCACAATTATGGGAATCATCTGCTTCAGCATTAAGAGCAATGGAGGTGATAATCGTTTGGTGGCCCAGAATCGAAAGTGGTATAAATGGGTCTGCCTGATTTTAAGAATAGTGATGTGTGGCCAATTTATTCACATATATAGTAGTCTTATGTTTTCGTTCAACGCTTCGTATATTAGGACAATCCTAATCATTCGTGTATGCATATATGTGGCCTGTGGCGTCTACACCCTGGTGATTCAGTTTTGCTATGCAGATCGAGTGGTTGATTTGGTCAACAGTTTCTTGGGGCTTTTTCAAAGAATACATGCCCTGCGAGGATCTGAGGATGTTGGCTTTGGCCGCAAATGGGTTCTGACTTTGCTGCTCTTAAAAGTGATCGGTCTGATGTATGAGAGCTGCTACTTGATTCCAGGGAGGATATCTGATATAAATGTGTACTATATTCTGACCACAATTTGCGAATTATATAATACGGTCAATGCATCCGTAATGTTGAATGTCTACTTTGTGGCATACCTTAGCATTGGCGTAATATACGATCAAGTTAACGGTTATGTGCGACACGAGCTCCGCCAGCAGCTAAACGAACTGAAGACAATTAACGGGACACCAGCTAGTCGAAGGAAACTAAAAGCAGCTGCACAGCGCCTAGATGAGTGTCTGGAAACTTACGACGGGATTCCTCGAGTGGTCGACAGCTTTCATAGACTATTTGAGTTTCCCCTTTGTGTTGTTCTAATGTTTAAGTTTTTGAGCATAGGATCGATTGCGTTCTTCGTAATGAAAAACCTTGGGGGCGTCAGCTTATGGTTCATGGTTATTAAGATATTATTGGATATATTATTGCTGACCGTGGCGGTTCACATTGCACGCAGCAATTCTCGAGTTATTCGATGGCTCAGCGTGGAGAATTACTACATTACCAATAACAGATATTGGCATATGAAGGTGAATATTATGATTGCATCTCCCTCTCTCTCTATATATGTTAATGTTAACTGAACTGATTCGTTATGTATGCTTTACATTCTCCAATTGTATTTACCTTTCTGTTTTTGTTATAGCTGGAAATGTTCCTGAGCCGTCTAAATTATAAAGAATTTCGAGTGCGTCCTCTGGGTCTATTCGAGGTATCAAACGAGCTGATATTGATCTATATGTCCGGTCTGGTCACCTATCTCACCTATATAATACAGTACGATATGCAAAGGGAAAATCTTTAGAGCTTCGTCACGCTGTGGGCGCTTATTAACAACCCTCTGATTATGATATGGTATAAGGTACACCACTGCACACACCTGTCCTGCGGTCGCATGTAAAAATCCGTTGTCAGGACACCAACTCCAATTTCCGCTTAACGTTTTTCTGTCTCACTTTTCCCATGAAAGTTGGCGCATAAATTATTTATGTGCGAGTACGAGGTATCGGTATGCTCTTTTTGCCTTGGAGCAGAAAATTTATGCAGCTAGCCGAGCGACGTAGCTACCGAACGGCCGGCTGGACAGTTCACGCTGAAAGCGCATAAAAACAAGGCCGAGGCCGCTGCACTAATTAGCATAGGTAGAGACAGAGGTAGAGGTAAAGGTGAAGGCACAGATAAAGGTGCACTTGCTCGATGCACTTGTTCCAGGGCTCAAAAAGGGCTGCGTCAGCGCTGGCGATAATAAAAAAACAGGAATGATCATGTGAGCAGAAAGTCGCACAGGTAATACTTTACCTAAGAGGCATGCTCTGAGAATTTCTCAACTTTATATAGTTAATAGAAAATTACAATAAAATGAATTGTCAGATAAAAACTAAACGACAGCATTTAGTTGCACCTCTTAGCTTAGCTTAGCACAGTTGTAACTGTACAAACATAGTTATGCACGAAGCAAGGCCTTAGGCTACAGACAAATTTAGAAACATTTGATTGGTGTTAATTGTTTGCCCTAGAGCAAAGGAAAACGCTACATTTTTAAGTCTTTATTATAATACACATTTGTTGATGGAATTAATATGTTGATGTAATTAATTAAAAATTAATTTAATATTTTATTTTCTTATGTATTCACACGATGTTTATAAAATGATTTTTATTATATTTTTACTTTTCAATCTTAGCTACATATGTGAATGGAGAACTTCTTCTTGTTCATATTTAAGTAAATAAAGTGTTTCATATAGTTTGAGTCAATTGCCATAATTTACATATGTCGTAAGAAATTATAATATATTCTGCCAGTGGTAAGGGTATGGAAATCAAATTACGGACGGCTTGGTGACGAACATTATCTCGAAATTGACAAAAAGAGAACTGGGGCGATGCCTTGGCCAGCGACTGAGAGTTGTCGAGATTGGGGTTTGTTGACTGCGAGTGAAACTGGGAATGGGATCAGTATTTGGAGGCCCGTTGCGACCTGGTGCTGCTCCAGCTGCGTGCTTTTTGTGTTTATGCGTGCCGTGTAAACGGCAAGATAATCATAAAACGAAGCATTTCCATTGCCATTGCCATTGCCATTGCCTTTGCCGTTGCTATTGCTCAAATTATTGTGCTTTTTTAAGGCAACAAACAGAACACGGACAGAGAGTTACAGTCATTTTTCCCATGATTGTTCTGTTGGCCGCGACTGGGACTGTGACTGGGACCGGTGTGCGGTAATTATGGGTCATCCAGCTCTGCTACTCGTGTAGTATTTGGTGCTCTCTCCCTCTTTCTCTCCATCTCTGTCTTTGCTTTCCGCCTGCAATTATCATACACACACACGCTGCCTGTAAGTGTATGTATATTAAAGTTTGGGCTAAGAGGCGAAAGATACTATAAAAACCAAAAAAAAAAAAATAAAAAAAAATTAATGATGCTTTCAACATTTCACTAGACAAAAGCACACGGGCCCATGTTGAAGTTGTAGCTCAAGTGCAGGTAGCTCCGCTGTTGGTAACTCCCAAGTACTTGGATATGGCCAAATGTACAGCTACTTGAACAAGAACAGCGTTAAGAATATTCTGATAAAACAAACGGATGATGAAAATATCATCATTACGAACTGAAAGCCGTAAGTCAATCAAGATTATGTATTCTCCGTGTATGCATGTATGTATGTGTGTGTGTATGTATGTGTATGCATGTAGCAACAGTAGCCGCTAGACAGTAGCCGCCAGTCGGCAGCCGGCAACAGATTGAGCGAGAGAAAGAGAGAGGCAACCCTGTACAAAAGTGAAAGAAGGAAAGAGAGATAGAAATGTGTTGCCTTTAGAGGCTGCAGGCTACGAAGCGGGCAACATCCGTTGATAACTCATTAGCCATCAGCAGCAGCAAAAAAAAAAATTGTAAGGGCTAACAAGTTTTGCACATGAAACATCTTATTGCTCAAATAAAATGACTTTAATGTAACATTTCCCCGAAGCCAAATATCAGCACATTAGCTACCAAATTACGTTGCCTCAATTAGTACAAATTGACATGTAAGAGCATTTATCATTAATTACGACACCATTTGTTCCCGTATTTAACTAATGTCAATTAGCCAACAAAATGGGGGAAATAAATTATCAAGCAATGTATAATATATTTATCATAGAGTTATGTTGTATTCGTAATTTACTTTCGACTTAGTGTAATTCCATTTGAATATTCATTCTATGCCAAAAATGATTCAGATTCAAAATTTTATTTACGAAAAAATTCTGGTCTGATTGAAGAAGAGCAATCAAACCTATATACAGAGAAATATATAATTTAAATAATATATAACATATAATTGCACGCAAAATGATAATCGAAGAACTCTTACGATTATAAATATATGTGACAGAGTTATAGAGAAGACATGCAAAGAGTTAAATCTTCCATAATTGCATATTTTACATAAGAGAGCATATAATGGATTATAATTAGACGACTAAATTGGATAGGTTTGATTCAGTCTTGAATAGTTTCATCAAGAATATAGTAACGGAATATCTACGACGTTCCCATACAAAGAATTGTCTCTGTTTCGGTATATTCATTGAATCCATATTATAATCGAATAAATATGTATTTCGAATAAACATTTAAAAATATAGTAAAATGTAAATGTTGAATGGCATATTTATAGCAATATTCAACTCGTGTGGGCCAGTTCCATTTGCATCCAGTGCACTTACTTAGTCTGTAACTAGTTACTATTTTAGATTTCCAGCTGTCAGTCATATACTAATTACGCTTAAGCCAATCACAACTAGAATTGTTTGCACATGCGCCTGTGCATGTACATGAATATACAAACTTAGTCTTGAAATTGGATACTTGGCCCGATTGGGTTTATGGACGTAATGAAAAACAATGTTGATTAAATGCAAATGGATTTTTCCTTTTGCAGCCTGATGGCCTTCTAAGGCGTTTGTGCAATTGCAAATGAATGCTTGTGCATAAGTATGTATGCACAATTGTACATACATGCATAGCCATTTACATGCAACTGCCAACTGCGAAGTGCCAACTGCCAAAGCTGAAATCGCAAACCTCAACCCAAACCCAAGCTCAAACTCAAACACAAACGCGTATTTAAAGTCAAAGAATTGGCACGAGCTGAGCACACGTCGCCGTCATCGTCATCAGCGTTGTTTGTGCTCCATGGAACTTGGATGTGCCTGACGCTGTGTACAGTTCTGGCGCGGCATTTTATGGCTGCGCATATGGCGATTGCAGAATTCAGAATGCTCGACTGGCTTCGGGGGAACTCGTTTTGTGGGCTGCATGGGCGCGCGCTCGCGTAGGCGCTGCAACGGCAACGGCAACGGCAGCGACAGCGGCAGCGGCAGCAACTGAGACTGCGACAGCGGCAACATCATCGAGAGGAAGCAGCGCGTGTGCTCTGTGCCAACATCTGGAGTTGGACCAGTTTGAAGCCAGCATCGGCAGCACAGTAGCCAACGGACCAGGTACATATATAAACATACACATATGGACAGACACATTTGAGCCCGGGCGCAAGATAATCGATGTATACTAATTATTTGCTTTGCCTGCAACTGTTTGTCATGCTCCGAGTTGCGTTTTCTTCTGCCACTGCTGCTGCGTCTGCCAGCTCGGGTACAGCAAAAACAAAAAGCACAACAGTAGCCAGCAGTCAGAGTCCTCAGTCGACTCATAGCTTGAGATTGTGTCTGGGCTGGCTAAAATAATGGTCATCGACAGCAACAGCAACAGCAACATCAGCAGCAGCAGCGGACGGGTTGGGGGCCATGGGATGCTGGCTACTGGCTGCTGAGTGAGTCTTGGGCAAGGTTACGGACGCTGCGAGCGTTTGCGTTGCTTTCTGCTGTGTTGTGCTGAGGTGTGTTCTTTTGTGTTGTTGCTAGTCCAGGCCCAAGCACTCACTCCGCACGGTAGTCAAGTTTAGACACCTTAAATACACAGGAAAGCGTCATTTAAGCGCTCGTTCCAAAAACGACAAGCACGGGGCGTGGCACAGCCTGCCGTCAGGCCCAGCACTATTAATTACATGGACAGGCCTCACTTTAAGCCTCACTAAATTATATGTGTATCTAAATACACACACACATATATATATATATACATATATATATATATATGCATTACATACATACATACATACGTGCAAATAATGCACTTGTATCTGATAAGATTGAGACTACAAGGTCAAAGCTTCAGAACTTAACCGCTAAGTCTCCCTTTCGTGGACTGCTTTAGATCTGCACAGATCGATTTCAATCAACACCCAAGGAAAGCTCAAGCTGAACTGAAGTTCTACAGCTACAGCAACAGCAACAACAACAACAACAACAACAACAAACAAGTTTTCAATGCAAACAACAAAAAAAGTACAGTCACAACGATTAACAACAACAGCAGCAGCAGCGGCGAGAGCGACAGCAGCATCGCAACGCTGCTGACGTCAAAGCTTGGCTTGAGCCAGCTTTTTGATTTGGCCGAGACGTGTGGCAAGCTTGCCAAGTTTGGAACAGGTTTTGATTTCAGATTTTGAAGCTATTGTGCAAAGAGCGCTGCTGCTGCTGCTGCTTCTGCTGCTGCTTCTGCTGCAGATGGTTGTTGATCTCGTGCTGCGGCCGCTGCCCGCAAAACAAGTAGCAAAGCAAAAATCGGCAAACGAGTGAGTGTTGCGTAAATTACAAGCAGCCAGCACACACACACACACACACACACACACACACACACAAGCAACAGCAAATTTATTATTATTTTTCTTTACGATCGCAAAGTCGACAGCGACGCCGTCCTCAATTGGCTCCTCGCTCTCCCACACACACACACAGATACAGATGCGCTCTCTCTGGAACTTGTTGTTCTCTTTCTATCGGCGATCTGTGCGCTTTTTTGTGGATTCCATTTGCCATATAGTGCGTTAATTTGTTGGAAAGTGGGTCAGCAATAATTTCGGTTCATCGAACACACAAATAACAAAACGTCTGCGTTGAGTGTGCGTGCCCAGCCCGGCCCCAACTTCTGCGCAGTAGCCTTAGGCAATCGCAATCTGTTTCTCTCTCTCTCTCTCTCTCTATGTTTTCAGTTCTCCCCCAAACCCATTCTGATATCGATTTGGTATATCTGGCGAATACTCTACCATGATGGTGTGTGATTCATGCAACTGCAACCAAAGGCATACATATACCAAAAGAAACTCTTCATCGAATACCTTTCTGACACACTCACTTTTATTGTTCCGATATAAACACATGTACAAGTATGTGTTAGGCCGTTAATCAATTTGTCATTTGTAAAATCTGACAAAATATATTATGTTCTGTGGAAGTTTACTCAAATGAGTATGTATGTATTTATGCAAGTCTTGGAAAGTATTAGGAAGCTCACATGATATTTTCTTCAATGTCGATAAGTAACATAGCTCTTAGAATCAATCGTCTAAAATAACATAGACTTACGTCATCAAAGCGCTTACCTAAGATTTCTCTATATCTATTATTTTATCTTAACCAAAATCGTAAGTAATCAAATATTTTGTACTGATAGATCTACTACGTGCTTGGAAAGCTATTTGTTCCGGTAGCCACAATCGAAAACAATTATACAATCTACATAGATACATTGTAGATAATGTACTTGCTGGCCTATTTCCTTTGCAGGTCAGCAAAGATTCGTCGAAGATCGTAACGCTTGCTCGCTTGCCTATTTGTTAACGCCTTGTTTATTTAGGCCAACGTATTGGCATTTGCTGTTGTTGGCTTGTTGACGCAAGAAGGCTGGAAGGGGGTGTGTTGTTATATTGTTTTTGTTTTTAATATATTCATAGCAAGTTTCTCTCTCTCTCTCTGTCTCTCTGTCTCTCTTTCTTTCTCTTTATTTATATACCTAGCCCACTTGATTTAGCATGCACTTTGCAAATGCCGCAACAAACATATGGAGGGAATTTGTTATTATTTTAATAAGATGTTGTTGAAATTCGATTTGTGTTACGTATGCCTCAGTCTGTACGTATACAGTCGTTTATAGTATTCAGTCGTCTATAGTATTCAGTCGACTACTGTATGTTCTTGCTCTATATTAAGTTCAAACAATATTCCGGCACGTTTGTTTATCGACTGCTTGTCTCGCAGTCACGTTCCAAAAACTGAGAATTCGAGCATGAGCAGATAATGTGTGTGTGTGTGTCTGTGTGTGTGTGTGCCTGTCTGTTCTGTATATGTTTGGGATGACAAATGAAGTTGTTTGCCTGTGTCACGTTACGAGCACACGATCTCAATAACCGATCAACACTTGCTCTGATCACGATTGTCTGTTTCTATTTTGTTTCTAGTCATTCGCCAGTGAAAGTTGTTTCTCAATCATAATGAAGCGTATTAATTTTAGCGTTGGACGCAATCGTCTCTCCTATATTCGACCAGGTACTTGCCTATAAATTATCTATTATTTATAGCGGCTTTGTACTCTAATTGCCATTGTCTTTGCTATCGAGTAGTTGTCTACAAATTATGTACAATTTATAGCGACTTCCTAATCTAATTGCTCGTTATTATTACCTGATTCTGATTGATAGTGTTCATATTCCAAATTTAGAGTTATCATAATAAATATGCCACCTTGGTGGCAGTTCTTTCCTTCTCTTTTGGGAATTCGGTTGTCGTCAAGTCAGATTGGATAGGATTGGATTGTAACTTGTAGACGGGAAGACCACGTCCAGAGGTCAAAATGTTCATCGTGCGGCTTTCGTTTCAGCTGATAAGCAAGTGTGGGGCCAGCAATTGCATAGAATGTGGATTTAATTAGCTCAGAATGTGCCGCTAGTTACACACGATTCTTACGCATGCCTGTAAATATATAACCGCAGCCGCCACACCAAACCACACACACACACACAACGGCACTGCAGCCGCTGTACGTGGAACATGGGAGCTGTGTGTACCCTTAGCATGGGGGCCATTTGGAGTGTGCGGCATCTTTCAACTGCAGCGCCGGCATGCGAACAACAATGCAGCAGTAGTTACTCTTGGACTCCTCGAGCTGTTTCATCATAAGCTAAATCGCTAACCCCCTGGCCGCACACACACACACACACACACACACACACACACACACACACACACACACAC